TCTAAAAATAAAAACATTAAAATAAATTATTTAAGAGTCAACCAAATATTATAAATACAAGATATAATTAGATTTAAGGTTTATAGACAATAAAATTATGTATATTTTAATTGATTGTTTCATTAACAAACGCTATTGATTTTTTTTTCATATTACATTGAATAAAAGGCAAATGACTAATGAGTAATATCAAAGGTGTACAGATTATGAATGTGAGGGACTTATAAATGCAATTACTTACTGCAAGTATAGACTATGTAGATATTTGTCTTTCACTCTTTCATGTTTAAATTTATAATTAAAAATACTTCCACAGTCCATGCATTTAAATTTAATTCTTTTCCTTTTACACTTCAACTTATAAGACATTTTTGAACGAGCATTAATATTAACTTATTAACTTCTACAAAATTCATCAGTGGAAGCAAAACAGCGTTAAAAATTAAAAATTCAAGTATAAATTATTATCATAGAAATTTGAAATACCTTATACTAGTTATAATAGGTACCTATTAAGCAATAAAAAACGATTAAAATGATAAATATTGTTGACGGTTTAGTTGGTAGGTAAAGAAGGGTCGGGCTGAACCAAAATATATTAATGCATTTATTAGATGTTATTTTTATTATAATTATACATTATTATTCATTAACAATTATCATAATTTTCCAGTTCAATCTCCGTACATAATATCACTTATGACTGTGGCCTGTGCAGCAGTGTAACCATATACGTTCAAAATATTTTCAATAAAAATGCTAACCTAACTATTTTTTATTTTTACGTAACATTCATTATCAATATTATCGAATATAGGCCCATTTTATCTAAATTGCATCCCATCTTCCAATCACTAATGTTATTGAAAATTTAAAATTAATTTAAGAGAAAACTTATTTAAAAATAAAGGAAGTAAATAAAAGCACAGTGAAACCAAGACGAAATGAAGAGAAGCAACGACGCAACGTATAGGATTTACATGTACAACTTGGGCCAAATACGAAATAAAAAATTTAACCAGAGTATAATATTTAAAAAAAATTACTTATAAATTTAGAGGGATTGATTTATTTATTATATGATTTATATGTGTATAAAAAAAATCAACAGTATTACATTTTATAATACAGGGTGCGGCATAATGGACTTCCACATTTCCGAAGTGAATTAAAAAAAAAAACAATGCAAGATAAAGAAAAAAAAATTTTATTTTTAAAAACTATATTATATAAGGTTTTTTTAAATTATTTTTTAAAAATTATATCGTCTAAAGTCTAAATGATTGCCTTGACGAGCAACGCACATATGGAGCCGTTCTCGAAAGTTTTCCATCACTTTCGCCAGCATATTGAGTGGAATCGCGGAGGTTTCTTGACGGATGGCCTCTTTTAGTTCTTCAATGGTTCTTGGTCGATGTTTGAAAACTTCAGCTTTGAGGTATCCCCATGAGAAATAATCACATGAGCTCAAATCAGGGGAGCAGGGAGGCCATGTAATGTTTTCCCTTAAGGAGATCAAGCGTCCAGGAAACATTTTTTGCAATACAGCACGAGAACAACGAGCTGTATGAGCTGTGGCCCCATCCTGTTGAAACCAGAAGATATCATTATTTTCGTATTCTTCGATTTTCGGGCGTAAAAAGTTCTCCAGCATTTCGCAGTACCGGTTGGAAGTTACAGTAAAATGTTTCCTGGTCGCTTGATCACCTTAAGAGAAAACATTACATGGCCTCCTCGTTCCCCTGATTTGAGCCCATGTGTTTATTTCTTATGAGGATACCTCAAAGCTGAAGTTTTCAAACATCGACCAATAACCATTGAAGAACTAAAAGAGGCCATCCGTCAAGAAATCTCCGCGATTCCACTCAATATGCTGGCGAAAGTGATGGAAAACTTTCGAGAACGGCTCCATATGTGCGTTGCTCGTCAAGGCAATCATTTAGATGATATAATTTTTAAAAAATAATTTTAAAAAAACCTTATATAATATAGTTTTTAAAAATAAAATTTTTTTTTCTTTATCTTGCATTGGTTTTTTTTTAATTCACTTCGGAAATGTGGGAGTCCATTATGCCGCACCCTGTAGTTGAGCATATTTAATAAAGAAATCCTGGATTTAATGTAAGTTATTGTCATATTGACTAATTTTTTTAAACCCAAAATGTTGACAAAATTATAAAATTTAAAATATATTATTTAGACAATCATTATTAAATTACTATAATATACTAATCTATTTAATCTTAATAAAGTATTTATCAAGATATAAATAATCTATTTTATGAATCACAACAGCAACATTATATGCGAATTGGGCGCATATAGGCTATAAATCAGCGAGTATAGTACCTTATCTTTCAGGCAAATCTGTCCAGATCCTTTGGAGCGCAAATGGGCTGTAGCCTGTGGAAGAACTATTCAAAGTGATAAATGATAAACACAAGACAATAATAGATATTAATTATTTTTACTATTTATATCACGATCATAAAACAAACATTGCATAATAATACAAGTTTGTAAATTACCTACTAACTTATTATTTATTTCCATAGATGTCCATAATGATAAATGAAAATAATATGGTCAATAATATGAAATTAGTTTAAAGTACCAGTATTATTATTACAGTAGATAATCAAATATTTGTATCTAAGACTATGGCCATGAGCAAATTAAGCGAATATTTGATTTTTTAGAACTGGGTGACGAGTGGACAGAATCTTAACAGAACTTATGTAGTAAAACATCTCGCGGTCATTAAAACCAATACCTACCTATTATAAGAATTATTTATGATTTGAATTTTCAAAAATTATTTAATCACTTTTTACGTGATATTTTTATATTATTATAAGATACACATATATTAGAAATGAACAACTCTGCTGTCTTATATCAAAGGGCTAGTTTTAGAACTCTTATATTCATTTGACTTAACATTTAATTTGTTAATTCGTAATTTTAACACTTCAACTAAGCAATTACATTCATTTTGTTGTATTTTTACGAAATCTAGTTTCTTAGTTGATAAGCAATATTTTTAAGTGCTATATTTTTGTAAAAAATATCAGTATTCATTGATAAAACTATTATCACTATTCATTAAGATATCATAACTTTAAATGTCTATAAAAATGTATGCATAATATTAAATTGTATTTTTGGTATTTTTAGATTTTTGTAAGAACAACTAATGAGGAACCCTATGATAATATTTTCAAGCTTTTTAACTATAAAAATCGCAAAAGAACTTAAATACAGTAGTCATTCGTTAATTCGAAAAACTTTATACATCGAACTAAACGCTGAGTTCCCTAAGAAAACCTCTACAATTAAAAGAAAATACATGTATTTCGGACATTCCGGTCTCCTCGTTAATTCAAAATATATATTGGTGGGACACACTTTACAATTAGAATTTTTATTCCATAAATCTCTATTTCGAATTTCTTTAAACGTGATTTAATGTAAATTCATATATATATATATATATATAAATTGTACAATGTACATACATGTAAAGATTATGTACAATCTATTTGACGTACTCGTAAATGAAACTAATAACGACAGTGGTTAAATATTATCGTAGCTTATAAACGTTATCGTATCTTATTAACCTTATCTAAACTTTTGTCAAAATTATGTTAATTTTTTGAGCAATTTGAAATGGACGAAAAAAAAATGCGATACAATTTTATGCTATCAGTAAGTTCGACAACGCTGTGGACCAAATTGTGGCCAGACATTTTTCACAAAAAAAAAAAAAAAACAGATTTCTTTAATATGTAAAATATAGTAATAGATTTTTATGTATGTATAATAAATAAATGTAATATGCACATACAAACAATAATTTTTCACTTCTCTTTAATTCGAATTGATTTTTTCCTCTCGATTATTCGACCACTCGGCAAATCGAAAACCTCAATAAATTTCGAATTATCGAGTGATTACTGTAATATTATTAATTGAAAATGTCAATCATCTTCAATAAGAGTTCAATGAGCTAAAAACATATGTAAATATAAACAAATATTATAAGTATTAAGTTTCTAGTGTATTTTTACTGTTATTCATTTTTGAATTACAACAAATAACCAATTAATATTGACTACATCATAGTCCCATTTTTTCAAATTAATATTCTTTATTATTTTGAAAATTAGTTAGATTTTCAATTACTTAACTTATCTAAATTTTCTAGCAGAAACCACACTCAAAATTGAAGGTGATGCATTATTTCCAGTATAAAAAGTTTTGTAACACAAAACACATAATTTTAATCCAATTATTATAATTTTCATCAGTAATTCATCGATCTGTAAGATTAAAAAATTTAAACAGACCTACAAATCGTATAATAAAATGCTTTTTTCATATAGTTCTTGGCATCTAAATTATTATAGTCCAATTTAAAAATTTCACTTAGGAGTGCGAACGTCTTACCAATTATCAATGCTTGATAAATATGTATAAAGTATAAATAGGTATATTGTATATTATATTAGAACTAGAAAAAAAAACTGTATGACCGTTACTAAGTTTATTCATGTTAAATTGTTATTGCAAATTTAAATGGGTTAATATAAATTTATCTTAAATTTCTTTTATTTAAAGTAATTTGTAACCTTAACTGTAGAAATAGACTTGTCAATAGTAAGTAATAAAAAGATAGAACAAAATTATATTAGTTACATTTTTTATTATTTTTTTAAAAATTATAAAAATTAGACGATTATTTATACTTTTTTTTAAAAAATTATTTTGAATAGTCTAGTTAGCACGTCAAGTTACTTCTATGTAAATTTTAGCTGAAAAATGGTTTTCTAATAGTTACATATTCTTAGCTACTTTATATTTTCAATTCTATAGTTACTATAGTTATACCAATTATCAGTGTATATTTATGCGGACTCTGCAGATTTTATACCTGCACATAGTTGGGTAAGGCTTGTTTTAAAATTAATAGGTAAAACTGTGTAGGTGGAGTTCACATGCCTCGTGCGGTGCTCGTTGACTCGGATTCGGCGTTGTCCAATACGATCGGTGGGCAACGGTGTGGTAGTAACGCATATAGAAAGCAAAACTTTGTGGGCGGGCATGGCGGAACCGGAAGTAACTTCGCCAGAGGCTATTATGGTAGCAATGAAATATCGAGTTTAGTCGCGGACGCTGTCCAGTCAGAAGTAGAGCGGTGCGATCGGCTTCAAGGGTTTCAGTTGGTGCACTCGATGGGCGGCGGCACAGGCTCTGGCCTAGGTGGACGCGTACTGGACAACATCCGAGTATTATACCCAAACCAGGTGGTTCACACGTACAGTGTAGCACCGTGGACGACCGTGTCGGATGAGCCTACTGAATCGTACAACGTGTTACTGTCCGCGGCCCGGTTGGTTGGCGGTGCGCATGCGACATATCTGGTAGATAACCGAGCGCTATTTGATGCATGCTGTGATAGTGGTAGTAGTGGTGGAGGTGTATTCGCTGTCCCTGCATACGCTGATCTCAACCACCTGGTGTCGCAGATCATGTCTGGCACGACGACCGGACTCCGGTTCTCCGGCAGATTGAACACCGACATGAGAAAGTGCATCGCTAACCTAGTGCCGTATCCGAGACTGCACTTCTTTGTGCCGGAATTTGCACCGCTCACGTTCCGCGGACAAACGGACGCGTGCGTGCACTCCATTTCCGAGCTGGCCACACAGCTATTCGAAGCAGTGCGGCTGCAGCGGCATTGCACCGGCGCTGATACCATTGAGGCTGTCGTTATGGCTGCCGTCATGACGTTTCGGGGCAGAGGCTTGGAGACCGACCGCAGTGGCAGTGTACCACTGCAGCCGATTACAGGATGTAGTCGTATGTCTGACCCAGAACGTTGTTGGTTACCAGACAACCTCAAGACTGCTAGTTACGGTGTACCGTGTTACGGAATCGAGAATAGTGGTACGGTAGTGGCCAATACGACAGCGGTTCGGGACGTACTCGAACGGGACTGTCAGCGGTTCGCGTCAATGTTGGCAAAACGAAAGCTGTTACACAAGTACACCGAAGAGGGAATGGATTCAGATGAATTTCGAGTTGCATTGGAACAGATCGAATCGCTGTTGGCTGAATACTTGGTGATCGAGCAGATCAACTGTAGCGGTGACGATAACGATGACAGACAATCATCTACAAGTACGAGCTGCACGGTCGCATTATCGACAGTTGATGAATGTAAGCCACCGGTGCTTTAAATATTTTAATGTAGGACATTAAATCAATTATTTACATAGAAAGATATATTTTCGTTTATTGTAAGCAACTCACACAATTATGGGGATTGATCAAGGGCGCCCATATGGGGGGCAAGGATGGACATGTTCCCCCCCAGGAAAATTTTGAAAAATTGTTTACATAAGATCTACAATGAGTGAAGATAGACTTGATGGATTAGGCATGATAAGCGTACATAGGAGAAAAAATTGATGATAAAACGAATGAATACATAGAATAAGTAATAAATATATTTGGTGTTAAAAAAGAAATTGATAATTTTTATTTGTAAATTAATATTTTAATAAATTTATGTTATTAATAAAATTAAAATTCAATGAATAACTTTTATGGTTAATTGGTTAAATAATTATTATTTTATAATTTTCCAGTTTGATATACAAAATATAATAATATAATATTAAATTGTAAACCCTTTCCTATCTCATGGACATAATTAAAATTTTGTCCCCTTTGAGAATTTTTCTATGGGTGCCCTTGGGGATTGATATTAAAGTAATTATTTATAGGTACCTGTAGTACCTACAGTAGCTTGACGTATATATTCTAGTTGCTATTGTAAGATGATTTTTCTCTTCAATTCTAAATTTTTGTAAAAAGTTTAAGAATATATACTCCGGTAAAAGTAAAGTAGGCACATATCAAATTGTATTTTAGGTATCATGAGTGATTGTTATCGAGATATGACCAATAATGGAATATAAGGCACAACGTTAAAAATAAAACGCATGTTAAATGTCTTTTTCAAAAGGTCTATAATAATATATATTTTATTTAAATTAAAACAAAAATGTAATATTAATAATGTCATACATGTACTGGTACTAGACGGTAATTAAATGTACAATTAGGTAGGCATTAATAATAATGATTAAGTTTAAAATATAATAATTAACTAAAAAACATGTACGTACACTTACTTTTTATGTAAACAATAATAATATAATAATTGACTAAAAGGGATTGTAGACGACTTAAATACAAAGCGGTTGAGCTACGGTCAACCATAAAAAACTACGCATTATACCAGATAATAAGTAGACTTTGAGATATGTGAAGTGAAACACATTTTCTAAGTTACAAAATAATAAAACATTGTTTTCACACGCATGCACGCACACATAAACACACACACATTTAATTTTTAATATATAATTTAATATTTAAATACTATAATTATAACATAAAAATAATAATAATGTATAATTAATTAACAACACGGGTATATATTATATTATATTCAACGATTTTTAAATTATTATTGCACTACAACAACACAAATAGCATCATATGTTTTGGTCTATTTATTCTTAATCACATATCTAACCAAACGAATTGGAAAATGAAAGTAGAATTCAATTATAATAACATTTGTAGTTACCTGAGTACCCTATATATATTGATATGCAACATTGTATGTGCAAAGTCAGAGAGTCGCCGAGCAATATATTAGGTAATAACTTATAGATCATATACTATGTATAAGCTAAGAGTAGTGATAATATTATAATAACAAACTATTAAAATAATATTGATTATTTATATAGTAACATATTTATAAGAGATAGCTGCAACATAACTCAAAAAATGGACATCATGTGAACACTCAATATCGTATTATTCAACGGTTAAAATTAAATATTAAGCTAAATGGAATATTGTATAACGAAAAAATCGTGTAATTTTTCAGATGAAAAATGAAATTTATATAGAAGTCAAATGGCAAATAAAGAACTATGAAGTCATCAGAATTTTAATTATTTTTCTGTAATTAACGTGGTGTTCATCGATCCCGTTAGTGGCGCCATTTATTATTTTAATATTCACAGTAAACATATAAATATTTTAATTGATTTAAGCGGTATAAAATATTTTGAGTTTTGCACAGTACATCGTACATAAAACATCTATAAATGTTATAAATAAAACACTTAAAAATTCAATAAAGCGTAAACCGTAGGTAGATATAATTATAATATGATCGAAATTAAATGATAAGGTATGAATTTGCAGGGTATGTGATATATTTATACGTGTATAACCCATCTTTCATTTTTGAATAATTTAATGTGAATTGCGTTTATGTAAATAGAATCGTATATTATTATTCGTATTTTGATTAACTAAAGTCTAAACATACTATTATATACATAACGTAGAATATAGCATATTAGGTACATAGCACATTATGATTACATACACGCACGAAATATAACTGTACAAAATATTATGTAAAGGGTTATACACTACACTAGCTGATACTATTAATGTCGAACTAAACTGTTTAAAAATGATTGAGGTAAAGACTTTGCCATGTCTCATAAAATTATATTTTTATTAATAATATTATAATAATAATAATAATAAAAATGAATTTAAAAAATAAAAACCGTATACATATTATACATTGGAACATTGTTGATATACATTATTATTTTGTATTATATAATAAACCTATAATATTGTGCGGCTGTGACAGTGAAGGGGGGAACGATAATAGTATTATAGTAATGTATTTTAATAAATGCTCCTAAATCGACGAAAATACTAGAATAGTATTTATCCTAACCTAATCTTGTTGGCTAAGGTAGAGTATTATCGTATTGAAAATTCGTTTATCCGGAAGAGGACCAAGTATAAAATATACATTCGAGATTAATTTAATTAAAAAATTGGCAAAACATCTACTTTTTTGAGATCTACTTGGAAATAAACAAAATAAATTAAAATTGCACAAGCATTAAAATGTTAAAAAAAAAATCATACAATAAGTACTACATAAATATTGTTTTCGTTATGATTTGTCGAGCATAAAGAATACTAGAGATCGAACAATCGAATGTTAAAATTTTAAACAAAAAATAAGATTCATATACTAACATATTAAAGGTACCTAAATATATAATAACTTTGGCGGCTTAGCACCCGTTATCATTATTATGTTAACATGTATTTTTTTTGTACACTTATCGCATTTAAAACCGCAGTTAATGAAACAAATAATAAATTAATCTCACTATTTCTAAAAAAAAAAAATAATAATACTAACAAACAAATTTGGTCGTTTTATAGGACTTGACTAATAACAATGCGAGGGCATAAGGTCAAAAAAAATAAATATTTTCAAAAACTGTAGCTTGTTATGAATAAAGAAAATGCGATGAAGTATAGCGTATGAAATAAAGATACTTCGTTCGTATCGATATTGTATTAATATAATAATAATATATTTATTAAATAATTTAACTGTAACAAATGTGTGAGAGTTGAATTGGAATGTGCATCAAATTATATAATGACATTGACGCCATCTATAAAAATAACGTGCACACACCAGTGTTATTATTAAATTGTTATGTGTAGTACGTAATTCTTATCATATACACTAATTATACAAGGTGATTTTTTTTAAACTTAAGACACTCATTACACGATTTGTTACGGTCAATTATTATTTAATTTAATTTAAAGTAGGTACCATAATACCACGTATTTGTGAAATAATACAATTTTTAAAAGTGAATTTTGATATATTATAAATTTCAAATCTGTATTCTGAATTTCATGTTCTGATATTTTTAGAAAATATTACATTTCAGAACATGAAATTAAAAATTGTATGAGTCATTAAATAGTTCATCATTTGAAAAAATTAAAAATCTAAGAAATATGTACATTCCTACATGTATTGAGATGCAACATGTAAATGTACTAAGAAATTCACCATGTATACTCACAAATAAAATAAAACAGAAAGTATATCGAGTCATTTAAGAATTGAATATTATACAGACAAGTAAAGTTCATTAAAAGAATACTAAATTGGTAAAAATAATAAAAATCACATTGAAAACAAATGTTAATAATTCACATAAAACTAAGAAATTATATTCGATTTACTAATTTCAATATGGTAATATATAGTATGTAAATATTGTATTGTTATGCACACGTGATCTAAAATAAAAATGAGGATTAAGTATTATTATTTTTTGCTTTTAATACACGCGGTGGAAGACAACTAAATGATATTTGTTGGCTGAGCTTTTTAAGATTGAAAGTTTTTTTAACTATTTAGTTATGTATACTGTTTTTTCTGTCATAAATATATATAGTCTTAAATCTAATAGAAATATATCTCGCTCTATATAATATAATATATAGGTATAAATAAATACAAACATTACTATTTATATATTATAAACACGTTAAGTACGTTGCCGTTTGTACTTTGCACAAAATTTACTTATTATGACTTGGAATTAAATAATGAATACGTAATCCAGTCAATAGCGTCAACGGCGTTGTGTCGATTGCCGCTGGCCTTTGTTTCGTGTCACGTCAAGCCGCAGCCGAGTGCATACCCATCGGACCTGTAAAATGTTAATTTTAATGATTAACTTTCTGTGACGATTGATCTTCGTTATCGGTGGTGTTTTAGGTAATAAATTAAAGTTATAATATTGTAAAGGTTGGATATACAACCAAAAAATATAAATATTTTATACAAACATACCTACGTTCATTGTGCAAAATTGAGGATTCTGTTGCATGTAGTCGATGTTCCACTGAAAATAAGGATTGAAGAAAAAAATTTAATTAGTTAAAACTTAAACTAAAATAATTTTTTTGGTTAGATTATTAAATAGTATTGAACCAGATTAGACTGATTAGCATATTTTGGTGATGGATAAAAGATAAAAGTACCAAGGATTATTTTTGACGGTAAGATCTTAATAGTCTAATACAGAAAAAGAATTAAAATATATTAGATAATAAACGAATTAGAACTTAAGACATACCTATTATTATATACTTAAACCGACTGTCCTTTATAGTTTGAAAAACAGCCAAATTATACAAAAGCAAATTTGAATTCAAATTTTGAATGTAACTTATTACTTAGAATCACAACTTCAATAGAATTAATTAATTTTAAAATTAATTTTTTAACATTAAATACGTACAACCGATAGAGATTCTGAACAAAGGTGTGCCCCCTAATATTTTATAATATATTTATAATATTATTACTATATACTCGTATATTACTATATTAGTAAATTATTATTTTTCTAAAATAATAATAATAATAATAATAATAATACAGTACTACGGTAGAATGAACTTGTTATAATTTGTTACCTAAGACATTGTGAATAGGTTCATGGTATAAATAATTTAAATTTAGCCTACATTTATAACTTTCATTGTTTAATGTGAATAGGAAATAAAAATAAACATACAAATTAAGGTGAAAAATGAATTTTGTTAACATACCTAATTTTATCAAATTTATAACTTAAAATACTTAAAAATAAATTCCTATAAAAAGAGTTATTATTTGAAACTTTATTAGACCAGTATAACCTAACCTTTTATACTTATTTATTTTACTACTTAAATATTTTTAACCTAATCTTAAACTTATTGAGAAAAAAAAATTTTCTTTATCAATATTAATTGAAAAAAAAATGTAATATTTCATTATGCACATGGATATAATAATATATTAAGTTATAATAGAATGTTTCATTTATTTATAGTAAACATTTTTCGAATAACCAATACTTGTTAAAACTTTAATTTTAAATGCTTAAAAACACGACTATGTATCTTTGATATTTATAAGAACGACTTAAGAAGAACTTTAATTTATGGTTTTTTACTTAGAAAACAAATATTTTATCAAGATGATTGACAGTTATTATCAATTATGTCTCAAAAAAAACCAATAATCCGAGTCCCAAAACCAATAATTTCTTATCCAAACTTGCACTGTAATATAGCATCAACATTTTTATCTAATTATCACCCACCAATTCATGTAATATTTATAACTTGAGGAGTTACTAGACAACTTCTAGGTATATTTGAAGAGACTTGCATTATACACATATACGTAACATAACGATTCACATTACTTTTTTAAGCTATAAGGGGATTCTAGATCATATAGGTAATAAATAATTTTATATAATATTTCTTAAACTATTATAATTTATAATTTAGTGTAAAGTAGTTACAAATGCAACTACCCTGCAGTATTATACAATATATAAAATACATTACACACAAAACTTTGGTCAATCTGGCCTAGACGGTGATCGTAATTAACAATAGGTGTGCAGTATACTAGTTGCCCCCACTTGGCCCCTCTTTGCAGATTTTTAGCTTTAAAAGTCCATAAATGGGTTGTTCTTGCGCATAATTTTTATGATATGATACGATAATTGATCCGAAATTCCGGGTAGTATATGATATTTTAAATAATATTATAATAGATCAGAGGCGTAGTCAGTAGTTTACTTGTAAGGAAACGAGATAATAACAAATCTATAATGTACAGACACACATTTTATGCGTTAGAACTAAGAGTGTATACAGTGTAATTAAAATTAAATGTAATAAGAAAACACGTTAGATGCGCTGGTACACCCTTAAAATCAATCTTCTCCGATACTGTAGCATAATGGAGATATTAGGTACATATTTTTTTATGATCTAATAGTATAAGTATGAGCAATGACCTATATATAAACATATTAAATAATATAATATAAATCTACCTCGGACACAGAGTGTATGAGATTGCACATATCCACGGGCGGCGGGGGTGGCATTGGTGGTGGCGTGCCCTGCATGATAAGTAGCGCGGGCTGTTGGTGCGGAGGTGATATGGGTGGCGACGGGTATGGCCAGTAGAGGATAGGCGGTGGGTAAGGTGCGCCCAGCGACGGTGGCGGCTGGTGGCCTATCAGCGGCGGTGGTCCAGAGAACGGCGAGTAGTTCGAAGTTGGTGGCGGGAACGGTGGAGAAGTCATTAACGGTCCGCCTGCATGTGCACATAATACATAATTATTAGAGTATAATGTTATTATAACATAGCAAAATATAAATATAATTATATTTATGCATTATATTATATAGTATATAGTTAAAAGTTATTAAACCAGTATGCGGTAAGGATGGATAAAATATAATATGCGCTTGGAAAGTATACTCATACATATAAAATCAAAAAAACAAAATCATTAGTCTCATAAGCACGGAAACGGAATGACGGAAGAGGATAATGATAAAATAATATGTCAACATTCCTCGGACATTAAAAGCGAAAGGAAATGTGAAATAAGCAATTTAAAAAAATATATTAAACTTATTTTAAATTATTGAATATTATGTGTAATATATGTTAAAAAATTATTTATATAGTTTTAACGAACTCACCGGAAAGATTAACACCACCAATCACCAGCAACCAATTTATAAATTTTGCTTTTATACGCCCCGTGCTCTAAATTTATTTACCAACAACATGTGTGAACACCGTAGTTAAATCTAATACGTTTTGTAATGAGAACAAATATAATAAAATAAAAAAATAATATAAGCCATGATAAAATACGTCTAAATAAAAAATAAATAAATAAAAAAGTATTTCAAGCGAACGATTTTTTTTCGTTGTTCAATTACAGTCACGGATCCGCTACACCTTTTGCATCCATTCTTGATGACCAGATGAAACCTCTATATATATTAGAATAAGCGAGTATTTTGTTAAGTTAATTTTTCATAAAAAGTACAGTTTTATAACACAACTGCTTTATGTTGGCAATCCATCGGAGGCAATGTTCAGGTATCTAGTGGCGCCATATAAATTTTTGAGGATAGTACCATCAACCATAAAGCATATTATGTCAAAATATTACAAAAAAAGGATGATAATTTTTTGTGTAGAATTCTTATTTCTGCTGTATCAACTTAAAAAAAAACCCTAGACGCCACCGACAACCACATATCATGTACCTGCTGCGCGTAACCACCTGCACCGTGGCACACCGAATGTTGACCACCTGCAGCCAGGTATTGTTAGAGGAGCTTGGAAAAAGCTACAGAGAGTTGTTATAGGTATATTAATAATAATATATCATTCCACCTCACGTCTTCTCGCGATAGAGTGATCAGACGGGTAGCAAATAAGGGTAAAGATCTCTCACACCAAGTAATATTTATGTATAGACTATAGGTTGCGGTAGAGTATTTTATGAGGGCTATAAAACGATTCACAAACACCATCATCAGATATTCATTTTTCTTAATATGACAATACGTTATATACCCGTCGAGCCACCGCATCTTCTTTATCTACATGCATATACATGCCTAACCTATAAATAATATACTATTAAACAATATTATAATACTATGTACGTGTATGTCGTATCAGGTTGAATGTTCGAGGAGAACTCTAGTATCACCAACCCAATCGTTGTTTATTGGTTAGTTATTTGTTTTACGAATTGGATCGGGTACAATATAAGATGAGTTAGCAATTATTGCGGGAGAATAGGACTATAATATGTGTATAAAATAAAAACGTGTATACACATTACTCTTAAGTTCGGGAAGCACGATATATGCGTGTATCAGATTCGAAAGTTGATTTTTTATTTTACTATTCATAAGTTACAAATCTATACTATTAGAATAAATCATTTAAATCACGTCGCCAAAACACAAAATAACTGCCTTCGAATCCAATACCCACGACATATATTATCCCAGATCCGTCAGACGGTGAGGTTTTTGAAATCCAGATACATAAATCACAATTTTATATACTTATGTACAATAAATAGTAATATTATTTTTAATTTTTACGCACACTTAAAAAAAATATCGCAAAGTAAAACTAAAGTCTGTGTAGAGCTTTCTCATCTCCCTGCAATCGTACAAAGGAATTAGTCCAGTCCAGTGTCAACAACGTATACAACAAATATGAAAGATAAGCAGAATAAAACATGACTTCAACACCAAATTCCGTTAGGTAAAATTTCGATATATTTTATATTACTATATAAAAATAATTCGTCTATTATTATGATTATTAATATTAACGCGTAACATATTGAAAAAAAAAACTGATCAATAAAAGATTTGTACATATTTTATATTCGCTATTTAGATACAGCATTTATTAAAATATTTAGTAGCACACAAATCCCAAGGTTCCGCTACAGTAAATTTATTTCTGCCCACACAGTCATTGAATCCTGGGAATAGGGTCCAGTTGTTCTGTTCAAATGTATTGTTAGGTGTCTTAATACAACAAAATTATCCAAAAAAATTCAAAAATATATTATATCTTAGGTATAAAGGATTTCAGAAAAATAAAAATATTAAATACTAAATAGTATATTGTTCATTAACACGTTGTAGTCGGTTGTGTTTAAAAAATACTATAATTTATAATGCAACAGTATTAACAGTATACAATTCGTTGCAGTAAAAGTCAAATGTAACATGCAATGAATAAGTTTGACATTGTAATGATAACAACATGTATTGGTTTAATAAAATATTTGAACAGAACAACAAAAAATGTGCTAACAGTGATATAAGTATAATAATGATCATGCAAAAAAAAAAACACCAAGCTTGTACTAACCCCAGAACCATTTTTACCACAATGACAGATTGATTATTATTAATGGTTGTAGATTTTATACTATTTTATAGATAATTTCCCTTCCAATCATCATACAAGTGATTGGACCACATAAAGCTTTAAATATAATATCTAAGCGCAAAACAATCCCACAATGTGTATGAAACAGATAATATAGAAGAAATAAATTTATCAATAGCGAAAGCCTGAGACTTTTGAACAAAACGTAATTGGTGTTAATGTTATAAATAAAAATAAAATTATTTAACTACTTAACTTAAAAATGTCTAAAGTCTATAAGTGTCTAAATAACTAATTAAAACAAAAAAGGTAAGTAATAATCTAATGATATTACATCTTATCAAATGATATGATTAAAACAGGTTTTAAGCTAAACACATTAGGTTAGTCCTAGCAAAGCAAGGAAAAAACTAAAATAATAATAATAATATAAATGATAATAATAATAATAGTAATAATAATAATAATAATAATAATAATAATAATAATAATAATAATAGTTTAACAGGGCCTATAAAACTATAAGACAGAAGAAAACGAAAATAAATAACAAATAATCCTAACAACAAAAAAATTTAAAAATAATATAAATTGGGATGTTTTTGAAGTTAAAGAAATTTTTAGTGAAATTATTTTATGATTTCAATGAATTGAATAAAAAAACATAGTGGTCCATAATCTAATAAATTCCAAGAATTAATTGGGAACAATATTTAAATACATATTAGTGATTTAAAATTAGTCTTAAAATCTATTAAAAGTAACTAAAAAAAAGTTAAAAATTAATTTACAAAATTCGTTCAGTACCCTGTAAATGATTTAAGCTCGATTGCTTTAAGTACGCTTTGTGCAGTCTGTATATATATAATAGAAAAATATATAATCCAGAGGACGGATAATGTTAAAAAATTAAAATAATTTTTTGTGTAACCATTAACCACTAACCATGTACCCGGTTATAAGCTCTAATAACCAAACTAACAACAGCAAATTAACATTGGAGGGAGAGAAAATAGGGTTTTGGAAAGAAGTTAAATGGTATAAAATTGTGCAGGATGTTGTAGATAAGGGGACGATGCGGCCATGGCAGCTGCTGCGGCTGCAGCTGCAGCTGCATTAGGACCTTGATTCATTGGGAACATAGGTCCAGCAGCAGAAGCAGAAGGTGGTGCAAACTGCCGTTTATTAGAACTTTCAGGGCCACCAGGAAATGCTTGTTGCCATGAACGTTTTTGTGGTGAATTGGCTGTTGGTGGCATGACAAACTGGCCGCCTGCAGCAGAAACTGGCACATAAGGCTTAGCTGCTATATTGTGTGGAAATCGTGGCATATTAAAGTACATATATGGTGCAGCTGCACTTTTAGCCATGTAATTTTGGGCACTGTTATCTAACAACTGTTGAGCTGCATTTGGAGATAATATAGATTGAATATTAGGTTGTTGTGCCATACCACCATTTATGTCTTGTTGCTGTTTAGTAAGTAATGCAAGATTTATTAGTTGATTATGCTGAGCTAGTTGATATAACCATGTTTCCTGTTGTTGTTGCTGCTGTTGTTGTTGTTGTTGGGCTGCTGCCACAGCCGCACGTTGAAGGGCTATGGATTGAGCTAAATTCTGCGCGTAAACGGACATTGGATCCCAAGCGGGCATTAGGGTAGGGACTGGGGTACCAGGATTAGCTACTTGGTTGGTGGTCATTAGAGGCTGTGCAGGTAACATACCAGGTGGTGATAATAGCGCTTTGGCAGCTACTGGGGATAAAGCTCCTGACGCAGCACCTCCTCCAGTCAACACTAGATGCATATCTTCACCAGAGCATTGGAACACTTCGATGTACCGTTGTTTTTTGCCAAAAGACATATAGTTGTGATGTTTAGCCATAGCTGCCTGAGCAGCACTGCCCTCGTTGTTCATTTGAATAAATGCTTCACCAGATGCATGACCCTATGGGATAATATTCCAAATTTAAATAATTTAAATAATATACATTAGAAAATTAACTGAATGATATACACACATACTTAGGAATAAACATATACATATAAAACATAGTTAAATAATTTTAAATTAACCAATTTTTTTTAGTTCAAAGCAAAGCATACAGTTTAGTTTTATTTTTACCTCTAAAACTATTCTATCCATTTTACTTACCACAGAATTATAAACCATATGTACACCTTGGAATACAATATTTTTGGAATGTTCTCCGAGGAACTCAAGTATATGTTCTACATTTGCTTCATATGGAAGTCCACGTAAGCGTATACAGTCTTTTCGTGTGCCACTAGTAATAACATGCTGAGGCAATGGAAGAAGTGGCACATGCCCAAGAAGTGCAGTAGGTGAATTATTCACACCAGCTGTTGTTGTTACTGGAGTAGTAATGTTGCCATTGCTATCACTAGCTGTTGATCGCACAGATGGATCCATAGCACGATTTAAAACCTAATAAAAATTTAAAAAATTAAAAGCTAAAATATAAATTATTTATTTTTAAATAAATATGTAAATTATTAATCACTAACTACTTTGTAATTTATTAAATTTAACACAATTATATGTGTGGACATATATTGTCAAATATGATTTTTTTTTGATATTTAAAGATTTAAATTTAAACATGACCATTGTACAAGAGTGAAACAAAGTAATATGTATTGAATTCCTACATATAGAACAGAATTTGGAAAAATAAACTTTATTAATACTGAAATTAAAATGGCAATGGAATTGAATATAGATGTTATAGCTAGTTTGTTAATCATTTTTAGATTTTATAAAACAGTGATATTGTAATAAATTAAAAAATTAAGTTATTAGCTTAAATAATATTATAGTTATACTCCAATTGTATTGAACTTTCATTCTGTAATTCCAAAATATTTGAAAATTGTATGATAAGTTTTATAATCACTGAACTAAGTGTGATAAATTTAAAGTTTTATTGTTTAGTGTGAGTAGATATTATAAGAACCCTTATCTTTACAATAAGTCTAGCTTCCGTAGATAATCATTTACATGTCAATACTATATTTTTAAAGTATAAATATTTACATTTATGTACTATGTATATTATTTAATTTTTCCATAGAAAAAATAAACAACAATATATTATCAAATCAAAAATTTGAATTAATAATTGCATGCAATATATATATATATATATTTATTCTAATAAAAATTAATGATTTTACTTCAAGAAATAATTAATTTTTTGTAATAATTGTTTTAAAATATTTCAAACATTTTTACCTGTTGTACTTCAGCTGTTGTACTTCGAAATAGTTCAATGTACCTTGTACCTATTAAGTCTCTGTGCTTGCTAAGTGCTTTAGGAGCATCATCTTCATCAGCAAATAGAACAAATGCATCACCTGTTGCACGTCCATCAGGTTTTTTAACAAATAAAACACCATCTTCTCCGTCCATTACGGAACAAGTTTGCTCACCATTTTCAAAGAAAGTAATCTAATATTTTTAAAATAAAATATATTCATCAAGTAATAGAACAGTTATATATGTATGTATTTGAAACTTACAACATCTTTAGCTGTACAATCATAAGGTAAGCCCCTCATGCGTACTATTACTTGGGCTCCCTTAGTGAGAAATGCTTGGGCTTCACTACTATTACCTGTAAAAATATTATTTTTATTTTATAATATTAAAATTTCTTTAATTTAGCATCATACCTCCAGCAACATTTATGAAGTCTTCGCCATTAGCTTTATATACTTCAATATAACGGCTACCAATATGGTGCTTATGTCTTTTCATAGCCATGTCTCTATGTTCTTGGTTCACAAAACGTACAACTGCTTCACCGTTACGACGACCATGCGCACTTAAACACAATGCTACACCACCTCTGCAAAAATAAAATATAATATAGCAATGATTAAATTATTTAAGATTTTAATGCTGAGTTACATAAGAAATGTATTAATTTAATGTTTTACTAAAAATTAATGTATCAATAATGTCATTGGTCATTAAATCATGTTTAAGGAATCATTAGCTCACTATTGATGCATCACTTTTTAGTGATTGTTTATGTAACCCGGCATAAAAGTTTTAATTTCTAACTAAAAATTACTTGGCTATATTAAGACCACGAAAGAACTTGGCTATGTCTTGATCAGATGATTGCCACGGTAGACCTCTAGCTCTGACTACACAATTATTATCTACTTCTTCATTTTTCCAACTATAAACAAAAATTAAATTAAGATTATAGTTGAGAGTTGTTGATATCCGGGTAAACATTTCTTTTTACACTTTTGCATTTCCTTCAATTTTTTCCCAATGAAGGCAATAGAGACTAAATAACATTAGAGTATAAAGCTACAAATGAATAAATTAATAAAACTATTTTATAATTAATTAATTTAGTAGGTATAAAAAATAGTCTGAAATTTTTTAAAATGTAATTAAAAATCATAAATGGTAAAGAAAAAATAAGTTAAACAAATTGGTGAAACAATGATAACTCTTAAACTCCTACCTATCTACCAAAAAAATTAATTCAATAATAATATTTAAATCATGTTTGTAGAAAAACATAACATTCAGTATAAATCACAATATATTTACTATCTAGTTAAAATTAAAATAAGTTAAATGTATGATATACATCTAATACTTACTAAGAGAAATAAAGTATTCATAGATTTTTGAATATAATTTAAATATCTAAATATCTGTATTTCTATGCCATGGTATACGTATATACACAAGGACATTTTTATATAATATGCACTATGCATAAAAACACAAGACTTTTATGTAACATAAGGTTTAAAAAAATAATCTAAGATATAAGGTAGATAATATTAAAGCAGTTGAAGCAGCTATTAAATAGTTATTTAAATTATAAATTACGTTGTTATCGTTTTAAAATAATGAAAAAAACAATAATAAAAGAAAAATTGCTCTCAGTAAAGTAATGGCTCAATAAAAAAATATCTAAATATATATATATATTACTTTAAATTAAAATAAAAACAACAAGTAGATAGGCATGCCGTAGATTATTACAGAAGTGAGAAAAATCGTTGAGGTAATTATCGAGAACTCAAATAGAATTGATATACATATATATGATATAAAACACTCATTTTCTGAGATCCATGTTTATGCGAGTGTCGTTATGTGATTGTTATTAATAATTATTGACTTTTAATTATTTTATACAACACGTCTGGAAAATATAATTGTATTGTGTAGATACCTATTTAATAAATTATCGCATAAAAAAAGAGAAGTTGGCATCATTTTTGTTTTTCCCGTCAGCTAAGCATTAAGTTAAATACAAGACATTAAGTTTATCTATCATATTGTGGATAATTAAAAAAAAAATGGATTAATTGAAAAACGATAGTTGTTTCATTTGTTTCAACAATAAATCAGAATACAACAAAACACATCATATGCAAACGAAAAATCTGGTATTGATAACTCAATTATGAAACGAAGACGCAATGGAAAAACGGGAAGAAGTAGGTAAGTAGATAGTTGGACAACAGGAAACCTGGAGTTCGTCAAAATATGCATTTTTTCATTACCTATTTACAACTCCCGACCTTTGCTCATCAATCGTAATTGTCATGGTCGTAATCAGAAATTCAAATCGAGGACAACATCAAAAGTCTCCAATATAATATTAAATTATATTATTGATGATAAATGTTAACATTTTGTAACTACGTAAATATCGCTGACGCCGTCATGATGAATAATACATAATAAAACCTTTACATGCGATTATCTATCTCCCTCAAACTAAAATTATGATATTTTTTTTGAGACCAATCCGGGATATTTATCTAATACCGACCGTGAATTGTGAAAACAACACTCGAACGAGATAAGAAAACATAATCACATTATTATTATAAGTAGGTAGGTATGTCGTCGAAATTCTCTTAGTGGATGTGTATGTTAAAATATAAAGTATTATAGGTAGTACCTATAATATTACATGTGTTTGTATTATATTGTACCTATATGTTTTTTTCAGGGCGATCATAACTCGAGCGTGCATTGCCGGCGCGTTCGAAGAGTGTAAAATGAAATAAAACAGTAAGTGCGGAGGGAGACAGAGAGCCCAAGGTATTTTTTCTTTTTTTTTCTATCGTCTGCGCTAGTGTCAACGCCATAAGTCAAGAGTATGTTAGTGCGTGTGTAGGTATTGTGTTCGCCTCGTGTACTTGTTTACGTTAGTGTGCGAAGAGTTTGTGCGACACACGCGCACGTTTGGAGAATTAATTTTTTACTTATATAGTAATATAGTACATATTATTATAATGAGACGGATGAGAAAAAAAACCAAAACCAAAAAAAAAATGTATAACGGCGTGTGTAATAAACTGTCAAAATTACTATGAACGCGCGTGCTACTGCAGGCTGCTGAATGCGAGCACGCATACACTAGTTGTTGGCGACGAGTTTCACAATAATATAAATTAGAATTATTATATTACGTTTTATGATAAATAGATGTACCTACATAACTCGACGTAAATGCCGTATATGCGCATATATTACCTATTACGAAAATAATAATTAATAATATTAATAACGGTTAAGAGCTATCTTGAGAGAAACATTTGCCTTTTCAAGAATCATATTATAGAAACATATAAATGTATTATTACATTAATAAGACTTTAAAAACTTAAAAAAAGTACTGAAAGGCACCACATCTGATCGTACGCAAGATTTTTAGTTTCATTAGCGTTAAAATTGATATAATACATCACATTCATATTTATTAATAATAGATGATAAATAAATAAGATTATAAAAACATTTTCAAATATTAGCTTTACTTGTCTAATTGAGACCAGTTAACGGAAAAATAATAAATAAGCGCTTAGCATAAAGCATATAACCCAGCACAGTATCATTATCATCAAAATATAAAAACGATAACTTGATGAAAGGCACGGAATTGTAACAGGCAAATTACTGAGTATTTACACAAAATCTTATTGTAATCTAAATAACAATAATTATAAACAATTTAAATTATCACTTTAATTAAACATATTGTTGGAAATAAAACGATAAGGTATTCGAAAAAAAATACATATCTTTCAAAATATTTTGGATTCATTTAATAAGTGGGTATAGAAATAATGAAATACTAAATAGTATCAGTAATAATAAAATAGCGTTTTAAGAAAAACTTGATTTTCATCGTTCAAATATTTATAGGTTATTGATAAATGTCTTAAATATCTTTAAAGATTTATGTTCATTCTTCCAAACATATAAAGATAATTTTTTATTTAAAATAATTGACGTTATCAAATTAAAAACACATTAAAACCAGTATATTATGGACATATTTCATATCAAAGTAATTGTTATCAAAAAAGGCAATTATAAATAGTAAATTAATAAATTAAATATGCAATTACAGTTAGTAATAATTTTTATTTTATAATATTATCTTTTGGCCTCTATAATTTTTAAAATGTTATTTTGAATTGAAATAATATACATTTACTTGTCTTAGGATATTTTTTTTTCTGAATTATACAATCTGTAATTATTTTTTTTTTTTTACAATAAGTTTAAGTGATAATGAAAGTATTTAATAATATTTATATATATCAAAACAAGAAAAAAATAAAAATATCAAGACAGTAAGTTTGTGTGAAGGAATCATCTAATATTGGGACTCTAAGGTCATACAATTTTAATTTTGAAAAATACGTTTAACAATTATTACGATCATTGATAAACTAGAACCTAATAAAATATTGAAGTGGTGTAACACTTGAAAAAAAAACTTAAAAATTTAGAATTTAGAATCTAATCAAAAAAACTATTCTAGTAAGGTAATTTTTTTACGGACAAAATATTGTAATTCAGATTCTTTATATGTTTTAAGATTTAACACCATTTTAAAATAGGTTGATTAATCATATTCCGCTATCCAACCAAAAAAATTAAGTATAAAAATGTATGCCTATCACTTATAAGTTATAACCGATAACCTCGGCGTTAAATCAATATAATGTGAATAATAATAATATAATGATTTACTTACAAAATCTCATTTATATTGGAAATTGATAATTGGTTATTTATATGATATTTAACGCATATTTAAAATAAATGATACATAACAAATTATTTATTTTTGAAGAAGAATTAAAACGAATACATCCAATAAAACACATTTGAGAATGCTATGTTTAAACATCACACCATGACCATAAAATTAAAATAAATTAAATGTTTAGAAATATATAGGTATGCCTATATGTGGTAGTAAAAACAGACGATACTTAATCGTAGGTATATAACTGTTCTCTCATCGAAAAATACGGTTTATTTTTTATAGTCATATTACCTATTCACGCTTGTGTTTGCGCAGCAGGTATGTTCATAATGAGACCTGTTTATTGTTGTACAATGCATGAACATAATAGTATATGAAAATATGAAATATTGTCGGAAATGTCCCAGAAATAATACAAGTAGAATGTAGCCACGTAGGACAATATACAATTTGGGTATATATATCTTTTAAAATTAATAATTAATTGTTCTACGCCCTTATATATGCACAGGGAAATATTATGTTATTTATAAGCGAATAGAAGACTTATTATATTAATGAATAACGGAAAATAGTAGTGGTGACTGATGTAAACGTCACATAGTTCACAAGCACCTAGTATTTACAAAGGCAGTAGATACCTATAGTTCTAAATTAGTAAAAAGTAAAAATAACAAATACCTTAACAATAAATAGGTGCTCAGTTTTTTTCTTGCAATATTGATAACTTTTAGCTCGCATTTATTTATGAATACTTTTCACAATACAATGTCGTTGATATTTCATTTGACTACCTACCATTAAGTACTATTGGGAAAGGGTGCGAAAATAAGTAGAGAATTTCTCACATGCGTTGTATTAAAGTTACACGTATATATTTTCTCATGACTCCTTTCCCCTCTTGTGTTTTAATTTTATAGTGGTTATTTAAAAATATATATTTATAATATAATAGGCGATTGTAGCTTATCGCAAACAAAACGGAACACCGATAACCTCAAGATTACGAATCGACGACACAGACAGTACAATATATCGGTGGACAAGCATGTGCATGGAAATAAAATGTATAAAAAATATTTATGGGTAGATTTTTATATTATGATCTTTGTGTCATTTTCGATGTAACAAACTAACAAGCTAGGATAACAAAAAATGCACTCGTTGTACCCACCAATTAAAGGGTGTCGATTTCAGCCCGACGTTCAAACATGTGTTTAAAATCAAATAATGAGTACCTATAAATTACAATATTAATCAATATTAATGTGTTACGATGATAATGGTTATAAGAATACACTAATCTAATTAATCGGTCGAGCCGAAATAGGATAGATTGTTGGTTGACAACGAATGGTGTTAATCGATATTTTATTATTATAATTTTTTTTCAACTGTTCATAAGCCATAACCTTTATATGTATTACACATATAAAAATTTAAAAAAAAATATGATTATACAACTAAAAGTCTATAAGGTTAGGTAACAAACTTGTCATGAAAAATATGCAAATATATCCACTAAATAGCAACCCAGCCACTAAATTAAGTCAATATACACATTTAAAATTTCAATATAAATAATATAATTTACATACAAATGGCTAAATATATAAATAAAATAATAATAATATTATTGATATAATAATCATCTCAATAAGATTAATAACAAAAATATAAAACAGCTTTCAACAGTTAGTATCTACACTTACTTCTGTATTAGTTAAACTTTATTTTTATTCTTAATCGTAATAGATGAAAATTCGATTGTGCTTATTTTAGTCTTTAACAATAAAGTACTACTTTTTAGATAATTTTTAAACGCTGATAGTGATGCAATTCCTGACAAAAAGGAGGCAGAAGCTACCCTGACTTGTGGGCTTTACTCAAATATATTTAAGCATATAGAGTTTACTATGTCTTGATTCTTGATTCGAAAATTAAAATATCAATTACTTTAAAGTTCAAAAATATTAGTCGTGACACTAAATGCAATTATTAAAAATAAATAATGAACAAAATGACCTCTGGGCTCTTATTACGTATAAATAATACATACCTATCAAAATGGACAATTTAAATCTATTTTCATGAGTCATATTAAAATAAATTGACCATGTTACAACATTCGATAATAATATTATTGCTATATCTTATGTCACAATAACTTTTAAAAAAGTAACAATCCTTTACCCAATCCAATTACAATTTTATTTAATAGGATTTTTTAATTAATGATTGTAATTTGAAATCATTAAAACTAAAAACTACACAGGGATATCAAAATATATTACAAAGATATAGGTAATAATAATAGGAATAATAATAATAATAAATAATGTATAACTTACCAAATACCCGGTTCGAGTTTTAGTTGAACGATTTCCGGTGAATTAAAGGTATGGCCTAAAACATGAACATAATTGTTTTCTTAAAATATTCAACTTACAAACTAATAACCACCAATGATTTCCTACAATACTAAAACATCACTGGCTATACAACAAAAACGATTGCGAAACACACACACACACACATAATATATATATATATATATATTATAGTAATAATTATCGCGATGAGTAAATATTGTTTACTAAAATTTCGCTGAACGATGCACTTCCTGTTACTCGGATGAGTATATAAATTAGTTAAAGTGGGGGAGAGGGTTGGAAAGAAAAAAATTAGACATACGTTATTGAAAGACGTTGAACAAATTACACAACAAAATAATATTGGATTACACTCGCTGTGTAAGAGACGGTTAAAATTTGATGACTTCATTAAATTTCGGTTAAATATGCTTGGACACGGAGCGGGGCAAGAGCTACAAAACTGCTAGCACAGCTCATTTAACTCCTTCCATCACACTCCACCGAAGAAATAGATCGACGATTGGTAGCATTGCGACACAGAATACTCAGAAAATAATTATTGTTTAATTTCTTTTTTTCTATCCTAATATGCATGGGCACATCTGATGGCAGTAAAAAACAAAAAAAACTGAATTTTTAATACCCAAGAACTTACCATCAGCTATGAGCCTTTGGACAATGTTTACCATATCCTTGACCTCGGCTACGTAGAACTGAGAATCAATTTCATGAGTTATTTCTAGATCTAAATAGTCGGGGGTCAAGGAAACAACCACTTTGTGAGAACAGCAATAGTCAATAATAATATGTAATATAAAATTAATTATGATGGTATCATTTAAAAACACAATCGACAGTAATATTAAATAATGATATTATTATGTACGATAAAAACAATCCGATACATGCATAATATTAATAGGAACATAAAATATAATACATGGTTCGTAATTGAATTAAACAGAAATTAAATATATATTATGCAAATCGAAGTGGGTCGTCAGAGCCAGCCAGGTGCGTTAATTATGATGTCTAATCATAAGTATGAATGTATTTTTTTTTGAACAGTATTATAATTATGGTTTTTAAAAATATTTTTATTTGCAAAGAGTGTGCTGTGAATATAATCAAAAATGTTCATGTTATTATGCGTTTGACGAAATATAGTTAAAAATAATTACTATTATATATATTAAAAATTAAATATACCAATTTAACACACAATTATATAATTAGTTAATAGTATTAGACATTATACCCAAGTAGTAGTTACCAATAATATTTTCGTTATTCCGTAAATGAAATATAATATATTATTATTTAACGCAGGGCAAACAATAAAGTATAACTACGGCATTCATTTGTTCATTTCGATGAACTGTTTTTTTTTTTGTGTTTGCGCGTTTGAGCACATAAATTATAATATAATATATAGTAAGTAAAGCGATTAACGGCTGCACATACAACTTGTTACTGATAACGAACAGCCGCTGTATGTAGCGGTTTATGAGAGGTGTACCTTTCGAGATCATTACTCACCTAGTTAGTATACAGATATCAAGTATTCTCGAGAGCAAAGTGCGAGTAATGAATTTTTTTATTGACGTTTGAGCACTTTAATTTTTTATTAAGTGAAATGCATAAAAAATACATTAAGTACGTGAAAAATGTAAAAAGACTTTTTAGGCTATTGTGACGTCACACAGATACATCTTACATTAAATTGACACAATAAAATATTATATACATGTAATTGGATAATTTCTTTGAGTATATTTTTAAGGCAGTTATTTTTGTTCCGTTTTAATATATAGTAAAATAAAACAAAAAAGTTTCCAAATATATATTTTCAATAAAAAAAAATTAACGGTAAGTACATAATGTTTAAAATAAATTTAGAACTGATTAATTAAAAAAAAATATATAGGTAATAGTTAAATAATCTAGTAGATTAAATATAATTGATAAAAAAAAATGACTAGACATTTTTACATAAAAATGCTACATTTTGCAAAAATGTCTTTAATTTATAAATGGTAATTGACACAAGTTGTTTAAAGTAACAGTTAGTAAAAACTACTAATGAATTCGATCCCCGGATTGCTTTAATGATTATCTAAATATTTGATACTAATTTTTATAAACTTTTTAATTTATTAATAAAACTTGAAAACTTTACTTATATAATCGTTCTAACCGTGTTCTTCATTGTGGCATTATGTACGTTTCATAATTAAAGATGAAATACTAGTTAAAAATAATATTTAACTCCATTAATTATTTTAAAGATATGAGGATCGATTATATAAACCTAAAAGTTGTATCAAGTAAAAATATCCAATTCTAAGTTCTATTAAAAATGTCTGAAGAAATATTTCTCTACATAAATAAAAAAAAAAAAAAAAACAAGAGATAATATTGACAATTATAGGTATATGCCATATAAACACAGTAGGTACACACCACACGTAATATTAGATTACAATAATATTCTATACTACTTATATTTAATATAGACTAAGATTATTCTGATAATCGCAGCCAACAGATGTGAAGGAGCAAACGATAGAATTTAAAACGATAAAAAAAAAAAAAAAAAACAATAGATACTCAAATTGTAATATAATATTATTACTTATGACTTATGAGTAACAATAATATGATAGGAGTAGAAAATATTCGACAGCCAAAATATATTCGATAGTATTTAAAACCAAGAAAAAGTTTCTAATTGCATTAGACACTAATTTATCATTCAGTGTTTTCAAGAAAATTTCAGGAAACATGGATTAAAATATTAAAATAAAAATTAATAGATAATAATATTATATCACACAATAATTATTGAACTATTCAATCAATTTATTTGAAAATTCCACATGTATGTTTATTAGCCAATTTTAAACAGATTATAAAATAAGAATAAGATTCTTATATTAGCAATAAGAATTTAGATGATGTATTTATGTTTATATCATGTATAAAAAAAGTTATTCTTCAAAATAGCGATCTTAACAAAAAATATTATTTTTGAGTGATGGTTTATAAAAAAACTAAACATCACATTTTTTAATACCATACAGACGATACATTGTGTCTGTTGTTTTCATTAATTTTATTTGTAAATTAATCTCCAATACTTGTTATCGACGATAAAAATCAGTATCCTCTAGACATTCTAGATGCTTACAAGTGTTTCAAGAGCGAGTGAACAAATTAAAAGATATTTTCAATATTTACACAAAATACTTTATGCATAATAATAAAATGTATATCTTTATAGTTAATATAGTATATAAACTTTTTATGTATACATATTTTTAAACTAAATTTTAGTTTTTAATTACATTAAAAAAAATTTATAAGACAATAGGTATCAAATTTTTATAATATATTTTATTTAGATTAATGATATTATTACATTACTGAAAAAATGACGTCACGTGACCAAAAATCAGTATGTTTCGTAGGATTTTAAAATATGATCAAAGTATGATGATTATCATTACAATATAACACAATACAATATTGAGAAATTTAACATAACGATACTTCTAGCTCTAAAATGCAGAATTAGATAAGGAATAATAAATCATATTATGATAATCGGACAAGAGTTTATTTTTGTCGTTATCTGAAAGTAACAAGAATAATTTTATAGTTTATATCTATCAAGTTCGAAGATTTATGTGATCACGTTAAACGGTAAAAGGTCGAAATAAATTGAATACAATTCAAATAACAAATAACATAAAAACAGATAAAATTAATCCTGTAAATATAGCGATCCTGTGATAATATACATCTCCTTAAGTGTATCCATGTATCCCGTAAATACCAATTTCTTCTTGTTTTTATTTGTCATCGTATAAGTTATCGGCCATTTACCGATATAAAAATAAAACGAGCCATTTTATTTAATCGATTTATATTAATGGGAAGAAGGAGACTGAGAAAGATTATATAGATAGGTACTTATAAATCTAGTTTTTATCTATTTATTTTATTTTATTCTGTATAATTATTAGAATGTAAAATTCATAAAATAATATACGTTTTTTATGGAAACTATTTCTCAAATATAATATGTTTGTCGAATAACAAGTAATTTATTAATAATATTAATATAAACGAAAAAACAACGATAACACCATAAACAGTTGTATAAAGTCCATAGCCCATAATATAATTGCGAAAATTATACATGAAGAAAACAAAAAGAATCAAAATATTACTCTCAACACTATAACTAATGATATTATTTTGATACTACTTATTTTCCTTACAAGAATACTATTTGTTGCCTAGTAGTAAATACGTTTATGGCCTATGCAGTATATATACACATTACATACACATATTATCACACGTCATACTCGGTAGAGGAAACAAAAACATTACAAGAGCCAAAACCTTACTTATGATTACCAATAGTGTTAGTATTCATGATTAATAATTGATAATTTTTTTAAAATCAGTAATTTTCAATGAAATAAGCATAATTAGTGTAAATTTAAGAATTCTAATAAAGTAATCTTATAAAAAAACCCTCCAAAATCGAATAGGGTTTCTCACTCGGTCAACTTAGTTTTATGACCTATGTTACATCAACAGCTCCATAAACGAGCCATTAATATAAAGTATGCGAACAATATTATAATAATTGTCAAGATTTAGAATAGATACACAATATAATATGTTCTAAATGACAATCATCTAACTTTTTGGTTATCTCGTAATAATAATATAATAATAATTGAAAAGTATACTATAGTGATTACTAGTTATTAATTTTTAAACTGGCAAAATACGAAATTTGTTTATATACACGACTACATGAGTCAATATTTATATGTATACGAGTATAAATGTAATTTATCAGTCAATATTATTTTGATTATGGCTAACCAACAACAATCTTACTTATAATAATTATAAACATAATATTATAATAAAGCCTTATTATGATCGCATCATGTATACGCATACTTATAAGTTATAGGTTATAAATGTGTCAACAAAAGTACATAATGTAATACTAAATTGTACAATATTTTGAAAGTATGTATAATGTGAATATTTTTAAATCATTTTTTTTGAAATTATTACAAAATTTCTAATAGAAACTGTGCACAGTTTTTTAATATTAGTAATTCGATGTTAAAATTGTTTTTAGATTATAACTTGTGACATTACAATGAAATTGCTTTTAATTATTATTATTTAATTGTAAATTAAAAATATTACAACGATTAACTACGATAACTACTAAATATAATCAAATAGTGATTTAAAAGTTTATTATAAAACAATTTAAATATTAGAATAAGTCTAAAATCAATTTATAACAATTCAATAAAATCGGTTTACTGGCCATAAACTAAAATAAGTTGTCTCTAAATATAATTGTTTTTTTTTTAATAAATAATTTTTGAAAATTCTATAAATAAAATTAAAAAATATAAAACTTACTTAAAACGGTAATGTAAACCAAATATTTAAGAAATTATTATAATAACAATTATAATTTAATAATAAAATAGATTACTAACAACACGCGTAACATCATAATCGTGACTGTTGAATGATTACTGATTAAGAGTCTAAGAAATTAGTTATCTCTAGTAGTCCCTTGGCGTGTACTTGTAGCGCACTCTATAACGGGTTTGCATTAGTTTTAACTCGGTTAAACTCGGAACTATTCGGAAATTGTCGACTTATTGTAATTTCATTATTATTTATACTTCTTATCAGATATTTTTTGGTACTTTTTTTATTTTATTCAAATAAAGTCCAACTCTTCAGTCTTCATATGAAATTGGAAATGATGTCATTCATTTAAAATTTTTTTAAATATTACGTCAATACAGGCGTATAACTAAAGACTAACAAATGTATACACTAAAATAATGTATTATTAAGCATTTGAAATACTTAATACTTATGGAACACTTTAAATTGATCATTGTTTATTATTTAAAAAAGTAATATGCAAATTATTATATTTATAACATCACCTCAATTATATTTATAATTAGATAATTATAAACATAGGTCAATAATTATTTTATTAATAAAATGTTAATTTTTATGATCAATAAAGAGAACTTTTATGAACGGAACCAATATTTAAAGTTATTTGTGTCATACAGTTTAATCACTAGAATCTAGAAATAATATTATTTCATGAAAAATATTACAGGGAATAAAATAGTGATGTATCAAATATCAACTAAATCAGACAAAGCATGTTAAAATATTTTATTCTGAACTATTATCAGTTTTTATATTATACAATTTAGTAAAAATCTGCCAATATATTTATTATGTATAATGTGATAATAAGCTATAATATAATATAAATTATTTGAAACCATTAATAAAATTTTAGTATATGGTTTTCTATATCATAATATATTATATTACGAACATTAAATAATATACTTAAAAAGGCGATTCAGTTATAATTCATATCACGTTTAAGGGTCAGTTTATCAACATTTAAATCCATTCAATCCCTAGATAATCCCACTGACCCTTTGAAACATACAAATATTAGTTATGTAATGTTTCTAGTTATTCAGTTTAAGATATGAAGAAAATATAGAAATAGAAAATGTGTATATTAAAGACATTTGATTGATTAATTACAAGATAAATAAACTATTTTATTATTACAATAAAAAAATCTGTTGAATTACGTATCTATTTACTTACAATAAGTATTTTTAAACAGGGGTCATTAAAATATAACAATAATTTTATTTAATTAATGAAATGAAAATGCAAAAAAGAAAAGTAAGGTATCATGGATTATGAGATATACCTACCTACATTATGTATTTATGTGCACTTCAGAAATGTCTATTACCAATTTTTAAATACTACCAAATTAACTGGCTATATATCTTATTTTTAGAATATGACAAGCATTGATAATTTTAATTTACACAACTCACTTATTTACATAACAATACAATTTATATTCGAGTATATGTTTTATACATATCTACTTCATATTATTATACAGTTGTTCTAGAAATTAAATATTTAAATATGTAATAAAATACTAAATTATGACCTTTGGATGCAATTCAGTATACCTTTAATAGAAGTTAAAAATATGAATAAATGTTAGTCTTATAAATATTAATACCTACATTATGTATTAAATATAAAAAATAAAATTAATATTTACTGCATAACAATTTAAGCTATTATATAGGTATCTAACAAGTAATAATTATAAGCGATCCATTCATTATACTTATCAAAATTGAGCATTATAACATTGTAATATTTAAATGATGCATATTCTTAAGTACGAAAAGTTATAAATAACAATCTTAGAAATGATTGAATGTTGTCTATGCCCATAAGAATTATCTGTGAATAATAATGATGTGTGTTACTCTATAGTACGGTTTATAATCCTTGGAAAATGGGCGACGCAATTCGTCGAATCTGAAGTGATTATAAGCTTGTTAATATAAGTTTAGCTGATCAAGATTTTTTATAAATTATTAAAAATTAATATTTTTTTTTTGCTTTCACTACAGGTATACTTTTATGCCTGGTTACGATTTAATCTAACGCTTGTTGTTTATTTTCCATGGATTACATACCGGATATATAAGACCTATAATAATAAAGTTTTTTAAGTAGATATACAGTTCCATATAAGTTTATAACCGTTATTTAGAAAATTTATTGACTTTGCATGTATAAAAGTTTGTGTAATTCAAATAAAATATTAATAATACGAAGTATGTGATAACGTTTGTACGAAGTTTAGCTTTGTAATACAAAAATTAAGTGTATTCTACAGTATGTTTAATCCATTTACTATATATGTTATCAAAAGTCGATTTAAAAAATAAAATGTTATAATACAATAAATTATAATAAATGGAATTCTAAAAAAAAGTTAAGTTTTAGAGAATGCCTAAAATATAATATTAACTGTATGTATTCTACACAGAAATGATAATTAATTTGCCTATAGTTACGGAGCAGTTACATATATTCTAGTTTTTATAGTTAGGTAAATATAGACGTTCAATTAAAATTTAAAAAATATTGGATTAATTTAAATAGTTATTTATTGACATATTTTAAAACGGTATATAATTAAATATACATTAAATAAAATTTTATTTTATGTAAATATTAAATAACAATGTTAAATTAATATTATTAGTAAAAAAAGCATGGTTTAGTGAATAAGATTATAAATTGTCAAATTTTGAAATTATAAATATTCAAAAAGATGTTGAGTTCATTGTTATACGATAAAAATTATTATTAAAAAAAAAAAAAAAATCAAACATTACATTTTTATAGATACTTCCAGTTAAGTGTGAAAATAATCTGAAAGTTTTATTAAAATTATAATTCAAATAAATGAAAACTGAAGCAATTATAATTTTTCAAAATGAGGATTTAAATTAATGTTTTTTTTTTTAATTAAAATTGAAAAAAAAAAATTTCGATTGAAATAATATTTAAATAATTGATGTTTTTCATTAAAATATTCACTAATCATTGATACCAATAGTAGGAATTGATAGTTGAAACTTTATGCCTTATATACATTTCAATATTTTTAAATAACAAACTTATCTTATTTTTTATTAATTTAGAGTTTTTAAATAATAAAAATTTTTTTTTTTTTTTTTATATATAGATAATTACAAAATAATTCACTTTTATTAATTATATTGATATTAAGTAACTAGTAAGTTAACAAACATCTATCACCAAAATTAAGACAAAAATGGACTGGATATAAATTGTATGGAAGGCGTTTTGATACACTTTAATAAAATTGTTCACTATAGTTACTACCGAATTTAGTAAAAATAATTGTTAATAGTGATTAGAAATATGTATTAGAAATACAGTTTAGTATCAATTATTTTAATAGTTTAATACATCATACATGATCCATCAGAATATAAGGAAGGAATAATATTTGAAAAACCTGTGATCTTCTAAGCAATACACAGCCATGCACATATATCATCTATGTGGGAACTCCGTAAACATAATTTATATCACACGAAAGGTTGAATGCACAAAACATGGTAAAATCTGATGTTTGCGACTAATACTGGAAATCAAACATTAATGTAAAAATGGCAAATTATTTAGTAATTAATCATGTAATATATTGTACTAAGTAATAAGTACACTACATGTGCAAATGAATATATTTATAAATTAATATCAAGATAAAAAGTGTAATAAGTATTGCAGCATTTACGCCGTTTAATAATAAAAAATTAATCAGCAAATTAATTCAGTACTTATACAATCAACAAAAATGTTACTATCATGTAATTAAGTCACACTACAAAGCAGAAAAATTAAGCAAATAAAAATATTCTTGGAAATAAATGTTTAAAGGTATGATTCATTTTATTTTCTTATTAACATGATTAAGATTAAACTTGAATGAATTTCTAATATCTGATTTAGTAATTAAATCTTTTATAAGACAATATTAAATTAATACATAGGTTTATTAAAAAAAAAAAAAAAACTTAGTACTACTAGACTTTATTAATCATCAAGCTTCTAGAAAAAAAAAGTTGACGATTTATAAAAAAAAATTTGACTAACCAATTTAAGACCTACTGAAACAAGTAATACTCATTTGTAAATACGCTATCTAAATATTTTTAATATACACTGTACTGGCTTTAACGACTTACCGGTAATAAATTAGAAGAATATGTTAAAAGTTTTTTTTAAAATAATATGAAAGGATACAATTAACCAGATCTGTAATTGAGTTGAAAGTTTGGTCTTGGGGCGCATTGTAAAATTTGGAGAAATCTTTCCGTAGGTCGTGAAATACATTGTAGTATTCGGGCAGTTCAATATCTTTAATGGATGATTCCCGATGTAAACACTGACGGATTGGAAGCTGTCCATCAGTTACTATTCGAAACATAGGTGCTTGAGGTTCGATATTTAGTGATTTAACATAGGTATCAAACTGAAAAAAAAATATACATAGTTAAAAAAAAAAAATGAATCAAATTATTAGTAATTGATATGTATAATTTTTGTTCAAATTATATTATTTATACGTTTTCAAATTCTAAATTGCATATATACTATATAATTTACTATGTTTGAATAAAAAATATTTAAAATTAATATACCTACATAATATTAATAAGTTAATAAGTTATGTCAATAATTAATAATCATAAGTTTATTTTGTAGTTGTTGTTATCAACCATGGGCGTATTTTAAGAGAGGGTGTTTGATGACATAATAACATTGATCCAAGTACTGAACACTAATCACAATGGTATTCATGTGCTAGTAGTTAAAATATAATTCTACGTATTTATACGACTTCCATTGTTTTATTATAAATTATAAATCTACTATTATATCATACATTTTTAAAAAGATAGGACTAATTAAAGAAATATGGTCTTTGAAAAAAAAAATTCCTGTTAAAAAAATTTACATTATAAAAATCAATAAATTTAATAGTAATTAATAATTTTAAAAATGAAATTTATAAGTATAAGAATATCATAAAAATAAAATAGGGGTTATACCTATTTATGGGAATTAGGAGTGTTTTTCGTAAGTGAATATACTAGATATCAGTGACGTACCTATATTTATACTAACAATATGGGGGATGATTTTTTTCAAATATGTTTTTGCATTTTTAATTTAAAAAAATCTTAGAATATTCTAAATGATGTATACACTATATATATTATAATAAATTTATAGTATCTACATCCTACATATTTATACTATATAGTCTAATTAGCCGAAAGAAATTTCAAATAGGTAAGAATAGACCAAATATGTTGACATGTTTTTGACTTTATTGAAATGTCACCGGAATATATAAATTATGTCATTAATAAATGGAGTTAGTGTCGTGCCACTCGTACCTACATTTTAATATCTGTGACTATGTATAAATAATATAATAAAATAATCACTAACACTTATATGCCGCGTAAATTTGTAATGTAATTTAGTATAAATTTAAACTATAATATATACTAAATTAATTAATACTTTATGGCAAAAAGTATCATATTTTATTTTAGTAAAAAGTATCTATCCTCTTAAGTATTGAATTATATAAAATATTATATTATAGTCCCCTACACAAAATTCTAAATTCGATTTTAAACATTTTTTTTGTACCTAATATATATTTATTACTTTCATAGATACATTACAGCGATTATATATGTATATTTATAAATAAATAGGTATGGGTATGTATATTTAAACTTAGTAGCTTTTTTATGATTTTACATCATGTCCTCAAAAACGAATAAAATATTTGTTGGTTTTTTTTGTTCAAAATATTTTGGTTAAGTATTGTATAACATTAAAAAGTGCATTAATAACTAATCTCATTATTATATGAAAATAATATAATTCATACCAAAAGTGCAATTTTATCTACACAATCTATCAAATCATTACACTTGAAGATACAAGTACTAACCTAAACAACAAAAAAAAAAGAAACAAATCACTGTTGTATGGTACCATTACACTAATAATATTTTTCTTATTCTACTAAACTTCATGAAATCTAACAAAAAATCAATAATTGTTTCTTGATTTGAGTTTTCCAAAACAATTTAAGTAATCATCACAAAACTACTGAAAAAATATCACAGTTTCTTAGTAATAAAATATTATACACCATTAAACACTTTCTGCGAAATTTACACCAAAATAAATTATTGTTTATTAATATATTGTGCAGTTTTAAAAATTCTATGCTCTCTGAACTTTAATCAAGAACACAAATGGTTAATAATATTAATTATTTTTTTAGACTGTAAGTACATAATTTTAGAATGAATTGTCTTTTATGCTAAGGATTTATTTACCCAATAAGGGAAATTTTTAGTTTCGAAATGTTAGAATTATTATTTATCACTTATTTTAAATAGGTAATCAAAACAAAAATAATTAAAATAACTACATAAGAAGAGATATTGAATATTTTCTCTCAATGAAAAATGTAAGTTGTCTAATAGATAAGCTACACTTAATTTAGAAATTTATGTGGTTTAATTGTACCCATAGAAGAAGAAAAGAAGCAATTGTGACACGGGAATTTAAAAACGAAATTTAATTTATTGATTGGCTAACAGTCAACCCCTAAGTGGGTTTTATTTAATGGCTTCCGGTTGTCTTTTATAGGAAAAATGAATATGCAATGATTTCGATTACAATCACACAGATAATAAAGCAAAACGTGGAAAAAGAAGCCACCATAAAAAATATAGATAACTGATACACAATAATACAGTATTTATGTAATATAATAACAAAAACTACTATACAAGCTGAGCGAGAATCAATGATCTCTAACATTTTTGCACAGGCTATCTCATGATTGCTAGAACAATTATTCTTCTTTCAATGGCACAGACCGGCCATTGAACCAGACTGCACAGCAGTATTAAACATGTATAATCATATATACGTTTGTATAAATAAAGGCTGGCAAGTGGAGAGAGAAAACCATCTCACCCACCAATTTACTGTACGTAATACGTACTATGTGTTGTTGACAGTTGTAATATTATTACGACGACAGTAATGTGATTTATTGTTAATATTTTAGTTGGTTTCTTATTTTTATTGTCTTCTTTAGTCCAATAGAAAACTACTGTAATTGTATGATGTAAATTATATTACAACAGATACAAGAATAAATATAAAACTTCCGAGATTTTATTTATCAATGCTAGGAACTTGTAAAGTGAACGGTTCTTATAATTAAATCAGGCAAAAATTGATATTATATATTATGTACCTTGACCGTATTAAAATTGAGATTTATTATCAATGTCTATTAAAAAAATAAATATATATATTATCTAATAAAGATTTAGTTTTAATAATCAAAATATATATTTATCAATCACGTACCTATCTATCTGTATACACTATAATACTAAATATTAATAACTATCATAAACTTTAAAAGAATATTAAATAATATTAGTGTAACACAGATAAATATGTTGTATAGCTTTTCGGTTTTCAAAATTTTTAACAGAGACGTTTTCCCGTCCATTTATGGATTAGTTGAAGTCATTTGAATGGACATCCTAATACATCTTTATATATATAATATACCCCCTTAATGAGATCTTACGTGACTTGTCATCTCCACAGTACATAGCCAAAACCAAGGACTAAAAAGCGAAAGGTAAACCGATCTGTAGACAGTACACGATAGCATATGTTGACCATTATACATATACTGTTTTATTATTATTATATTATTATAAAACTATATTTCTAGATCGAGGACACATTGCACTTGAATAAGTACTCAATGTAATCTACTGCACACAATTTGTTTTTTATTGATAGGCTATACCTGCATTTAATAAGAATATTTTAATAATTAACTTTAACTAGTTTTTTTTATAAATTTGTTACCTATTAGTTCATTATAGGTATTAAAATATAATTTTTTATGAAATGTGTAAATACTATACCTACCGTTAAGATTTTTAGTCTATGATGTATATGATACAAATGTGTATTTTTATCAAGGATAAAAAAGTAAGGTTTAGGTTTATATATCAATAAATAATTAGGTATTATAATTTTTTTATACATTTCACTTTGTTACCACTATTTTATTCATTTTCGTTTAAGAGACACAGAAATATGCATCTCTTTTTTAAAATTGATAGTTATTGAAATGATATACTTAACGTTAATTTAAAGTATTTATCACTGAGAAATTAGGAACTTGCAAGCATTTGAACCAGACTGAGGGACCAAGGATGTTATAATGTATAGTCCAAAGGCGGCGTTGGCCGAATTGAATTACGAATTCACCATACCACAATAGTTGCGAGGCTGTAAACTGGTACAATGACCTTCCGGTGGAGTCAGCAGAAACTGTTTTAAAATATTTTTCTTATACACTTACTTAGGTAATGATTTTTTTTTTTATGTTAAAAAATCTAGATATCTATTTTAAAGATAATAACTAGGTACATAGGTACTTAAATATTAATAAATTTTTAGGGATGAATTTTTTTTTTTAATTCATCACAGTATATTGCACAAATACATAAATAAAGAATTATAATATTTAGATAACCATAGATAAGTTTTTATTTGGTAAATAATTTAATAGAATTGATCGATGTTTTATGTACGCATTAACATGTGTTAATTATAAACTGTTTTAAGTGTTTATTTACGACACAGTATTAAATTGGAATTAATTTTGAAAAAAAAGCATTCAAAATTATACACAACATACAAAGAGAATATGTGGCATGTAAATAATAAATTACATGCATAAAAAAAACAATAAAACTCTAAGTAAAGGATTTGCGTTCAAATTTCCTGGGGTCAATAAGTTAAATGTTATCGTCACATACAGAATAAATTATTTGAATTTGATAATATATCCTAAGTGAATTAAACAATGAGTTCAGTTATATACTACAGTAATAGTAGTAAATACTTAAGTAAATAACATGTAAAGGGCAAATTCGTTTCCGGTCAAATTACCAAAATATAATATACTAATATACATTATTATGTATAATGTATTTTGACGGATGTACCAAATGAAAACCGACATTAAAAATATTTTCATACATCGCTCATGTTTTATAATGTCGTATAGTATATACATATATTTTTTTTTTTATTACTATTTTTAACGTACAATTTGTGTTTATATACATTGGTCCTTACTATTTCGTGCAATCTAAGACTTATAGGCCTAACTTTCACCGTATAAATATTAAATATATGTTGCTGTCATGACTCGTGAAGTCTTATGATAAGAAAAACCGCTAAATGTTTTACTGTCATAATATTTAAAGCTTAACATACTATACTAAAACGGTACTTGTATATGCTATATACATACACATTTTGTATATTAATACGTATTATACAACCCTTTGTCACCCATAAGTCATAAAAAATAGGGAAGGTAAA